ATACCGTCCCCAAGATATATCACCTATCAATATTTTTAGCTTTGTTACACTCAAGAATGAAATTCTTGATTTTCTAGGATGGCCCTACTACATCTTAGAAAAACTGACTATTTTATACGCAATGTTTAACTTTATTGGATTTCTTTTTTCACTCTTAAAAGGAATCTATAACACATGTGCTAACACACACAAGTCAATAGACAAGCAAGTGTAGCACGCATACTATTTGCAGGATTTTTTGGAATATTTTCTACATCTATAAACAAAACTCTTTTAGACGCACAAATAAAAGAATATAACACAAAAATAGCAGCAAGACAGAACACATACGACGAAGAACATAACAATGTAGATACAACACCAACAGCACCACAGTTACCACCCCTACCACATAACCATCCATTATCCCTAGTCCCACGTAATTTTCGAAATTTAGCCATAACACATAATCAAAATTTTAGACCAACTATATCACAAAGTCCCATCCAACATATAATGCCACACCACTCACAAGATGACAATACTTATGAACAAATTATAGAACAACCCCATACCACCGCTTTTCAGTCTCAAAATAATAATTTTTTTAGCCCACGATGAGCCGACAACTTGGATCCCTACACCGTTCAAAATCCCACCCAACCAACCTCACTACTCCCATTACAATAATACCACTTTTTGCTTTCCCGCCACCCGATTTCCCAACCAGTAATGTAACATCAGGCATGAATTCCGACACTAATTCACACACCTCAGTTTTATACTCCACATCACAACTCAATAACCCGAATATTGAAACCCCCGATGAATTTGCCGACTCTGAACCATCTCCATCCAATAATTTTCCCACCAACCCCTCAATTTTTTCCCAACCCCCTTTTCAACCCATATTACCAAATAACCCTGACCCATCCAATTCTACACCCTCTTATGCTTCCCAAGTCACTCCAACCTATTCCTCACTTCACTCAGACCAATCATCTCATTCTCCAGATACCCCCCGAATCTCCCCAGAACTAGATAACTTCATTACCCTACAACAACAACCCTATCACCTTGACATCCCAACCATAAACCAAATCTCATCCACAATAGATTCATCCAACCCTCCTACCCCTACAGCCTCTTCAATTTATACTGAATCATTAGCACCATCATCCACATCTACTGAATCTTCACTCAGCACTAATAGACCTTACCGCACTTTTAAAAGAAAGTTCCCCAACCATCCTTTCCCAGCGAAACCAGGAACAGCCCGTGAATATATCAACCATCCAAAACACACTAACACAAAAGAATTTTTAGCTATCACCTTACCCTCATTTCCACAATACACCTTAAACACCCCTCACGACACTAACGAGACACGTAACTTTGTAGACGAACACGTTTTAATGCCTACCCTTCCTTGGACCTCATATTATCATTTTACTAATCCCCTTTGCTTACCTTTATCTAACACTCACATCGATATAGAACGAAATAAGGACATGCTATATCGACTCACTACACCACTAACACCTAGACAATTTACTTACATTGGATATAAAAAATCACTAAAAACACACACTGCACCCCGAGCAAATGAATTTACACTAGAATATTACGATCATAACATCATCAGAACTAACCAAGATCAATTATTAGACGACGATCACTTCGCTAACCCACAAATCACCGAGAAATTTTTCATTAAAACACCATATGTATTTACACTAAATATCTTCGATCGCAAGTTTGACCACATTATTTCAGAAGCACTAACAGACACACAAGCCTACGAAAGTTTTAAAGAACGCTTCCAAATATTTTCACTAACCTTTCATTTCCTTGCACCACATGAAAGAGATTTGCACTGCTCACACGATATTATGTTGCGCACTAAACAAACACACACATACTTATTATCGTTTTATCCAAAATCACTTCGACCTACACACTCCCTCCAGACAACCACACCATCGTTTTCAATTCATCAATTCCAAATACACCTCACCATTCTTTCTTAACTTCACATATTGCATTAAAGATACTAACCTTCATGGTATTCTTCGAAATTATGATCCCATAACCCAAATGTATATTTTTTGTCCCATCACCAAGACCTTCAACGCAGAAGAATCCCGACCCTTCCTTATCCCACACGAGTTTGTACAACCTATAGAAATCCCCATTTTAGAATTCATCCATAACACTAAATTCAATCACAAATTATATAATCTAATCCAAAACACACCTTATGAATTTGCAGTTGGCACTGAAGAACTAACCACCATTAAAGCACTTCAATTGCTTTGGCCACTACTTCAAACTAAAAATATCATCCGCATTTTAGCTAAATTACTAACAACTTCAGATCTCATCCACGACATCTTCCACCACGGTTTCTTCCCCGACGACTAACAGGTAAGTATGAATTATACATATTACTAACTAATTAAAATATTAGAAACTCACCATTCTTTATCCATGTTTTCTTTAGAATTTTAGCCTTCACCCAACGATCATCTGAAAAATTCACAAAAGAAAATAAAAAATTGAAAACTTCTTCAAACTGTTTAAAACTCTATTAATTTTTTTTTCATCAAATAATTAAATAAATATAATACCAATGCAGTAATTTAATTTATAAATTTTTCCCCCACAAGCAGTAAATCTAAAAATAATGAAAATTTGTAACTTAATTTTCCCCAACAACTAGTAGTAAAATTAAAAATTCTATGTAGTAAATTAATAAGAAGCAAATGCAGTACTAACCTTTTGATATTTTCATTCACTCGCACAAGAATTCTATCCAAACTCGCACAGCTCGCCCACGAAGAATTGTTTAAATAATGAATTTCAGTTTCAAGCTTTGACAACTCAACAACTCTAACACACGATAACAAGTTTCAAACTTTCCTTTAACCCGGTTGGAAAGGAATTATATACTAAACAAAACTAACCAATGCAGCTTACTAAACACCACAACACATAGCATAACAGCATGACTAAGAAAAGGAAACCAACGGTACCCAAACCGGATTAACCCAGTTTAAAACTGGATAATTTATTCTTTTGAAGACTATTATAAAGTCTAAGAAAGAAATAATAAAACACAAAAAAGTCGAAAGACAAACCCATACCACAAACAATTTGATTTTTGAAAAAAGGACACAACTAACAAAACATAAGAAAAACCACAACAAACCCAACATAAAACGTTGTCACATAACAGGACCTCTCACAAAAACCGCATGCAATCATACTCCCACTCCTGGCCTAACCCACCAGGAAGGACGTCCTGAGCATGCTCTATAGCCGGCCTAACCCACCGCGCTACATCCACGCTTTGTGACCACACTCCTATTTTTAATAAGAGCTACTCAAGGGTGAGTAACTCTTCAAAATAACTGAACTAAAACAAAAAGCTTTTGTGAAAACAACTAACTAAAATCATAATTAAAAGATATTAAACTAATAAAAGTTTTATAAAATGTAAATTACATTATGCAATACATAGATCAGAATACAACACCAAGGACGAACATCCAAAGACAAAACGACCCCACTACACTCGAGAAAGAATGGCCAACTACAATCAATATGCCGCCCACAATCACAACTCAAAGGATTTAGAGTACGACTTGACTTCGCAGAAAAGGACTTCATTGAACTAGACCAATGACCACCTCGATGTTCAAGTATACGTACAGATCCGAGTAATCAGGCATCCCCTCCATGCACAATCTCCACGCCATTCCTAGACAAGATCAAAACACAAAGAAGTTCTCATTAATGAAACAGAAAAACCTGACATAGCCAACCATTCTGAAATCAGATTTGAGTTTGTTGCAAAGACCCAGTCGTTGTCTTGAGAAGACACAACGATTGAATCTGGGACTTCTCTAATAAGAAAGCCCAGAAGAAATAAGATGTTCGCCAAATACCAACGTCCATCATCCATCCTTTGAATTGCAGAAAGACTATTCTAAAAAACTCTGTAAAACCCGGATGGGTGGAACCTGATCTAAACTACATTTTATGATTGGATAAATTAGATATTTTACCAATGTAAAGTATTTAATATTAACCAATCATGATCCATCTGACTAACAATCCACTTATTTGTAAGTGCTGAAATTACTTGTAATTTCAGCACCAGAGAGATTTGAATTTAACTTAGAAATTAGTTGACTCTCCAAGAAGACTTCAGCAACCGCAATAAACCAGTGTACCCTAGATCTATTGAGCCTAGCAGAGACTAGTTAAACAACCTGAGACTAGATAGTATAAGAGTAAGATTAGGATCGGTATTAGACTAAGAAGTTGCACGAATCTATCCGGCCGAAAATAAGATAGCGTGACGAGCAGACGGTGTACCCTATCCGAAATTACTCTATGAGTTATACCCATCGGTCATAACTCAGAGCAGCTGTATTTTTAGTGCGCTCAAACTTTTAAATCTAATCAGCAGTCAAACCAAAATAGGCAGAGGCCGTTACTGTAACCCAGTCTTGAAATAGCAAGAGAGCTAGCTAAATGAGCAGCGTTTTCAGATGAATCATAATTACGTATTCCGCAGAGTTTTTGACATTTCTTTTAACTTCACTGTTTTCACCTATGATTGTCACATTCTGCAGCCAAATTTTCAGTCTTGATTTTTTGGTATGACGAGTAGTTCAGTATTCTCTGGATTCCCTATGAACAAGTCCTAAAATAATGAAATGGTTTAAAAAATGAAGTGCTATAGATTGAAACTGCAGCGCAGAGTACAAAAAAAAACTCATTTACATATAAAGATAAAAAGTATTTAACAACAAGGTATTTCTATTCATTGAAATGTTCAAGTGTTCAAGTGACTTTGTTCCACAATTACTAAAAGTGTCTTTTACATCTATAAAACTGTATCTGGATGGTTTCAGGAAAAAAAACAGTCACTGTTTTTTTTTCAATTTGCAAAAAAAAATTCATAATTGTAGTTTGCCCCAAAGACCAGAACGAAGACTTTTTAATACTAGGGTAAAGAATCCAGTGTTGGAGATAGGGGACCAGGTGAAGGTGCTGGACCATATGCAGACAGTGATGCACATGCAGGAGGGCCACGGCTCATACACAGAGGCCATGGAACTCATTCTGGGCAGAACAGGTCACGTGATCAACTACAGACCATTCGTAGGCTGCAAGGTTGAATTCCAACTGGTAGGCGAGTACAGTTTTTATTTTACAATTAACCTATCATTTTAGTGTAATAAATTATTAATTTTGTTTAAAAATAAAATGGTTCATTTTTTGTAGTACAAAATTTAAAGCTTTTCCCAATTTTAGGCAACAAAGTTGATTTCATGATCAACAGCAGCCTATTGGAAAAAGTATCCGAAGAGATAGAGTACATGACAGGAGACAAAGTGAAAGTAACCATTGACCTTCATCGATTCGAGGCCAACCAGAGTTTCCACGGGGGCTGGAACGAAAACATGGCCCGCTTCGCCGGAAAAGTGGGCGTGGTCGCCGAAATACGGAGGGGAGTCACTGTTGAAAACGAGAGCCACGGAGATCTCGGTCTTCGTTTCTTTGGAGTCGCTGACCAAATTGTCGTGAACCCGAGAAGTGTGACTAAGTTTGTGGAGACGTTCAAATCAGGAGATGATGTGTCTTTTGTGTTGGACTCGACTGCCATGACAAAATTAACCCGAAAATTGTCATCGTACACAACCTCAAACCTCGCCAATAAACAGAATCAAGTAGGTTAAAATTTGTTCAAGTTAGTTCAATAGAATGTTGGTAGAGGATTTAGTGAGTAAGAGGCTGGATTGTTCCGAAAGCTACTTTAGCGCCAATAAGTGTTTTTTTTTGGAAGGAGCGTTTGATTGGGCGTTTGGAGAGCACTGAAAATCAATTTGGTCAACTTAAATTGTCTTACTTGCGATCCAAAGCGTGGGCCAGTTATTTAGCCCATTGAATTAACAAACTGCGCATTCTGGTTTAACTGATATTTAAAGTTTACTATTTCTCTCCGAAATATAAGACCCTTTTGCTACCTGCAGCAATTGGGCACAACAAGAACTAGTTTTGAAAGCCGTATGAGCATTAAGCTTCAAAATATTTTTAGAGACGACAGCTGACTGTATATTGATTGCGCCAAATCGATCGTTTGTTTTTGCTAGAGTGGGAAGGTGAGTTCGGTGAATGGGAGTGGTGAAAATGCCACAGTGACAGTGAAGTATGCTGCAGACGGGAAGAGTGTGCCATTCCATTCATCCCACTTGGTGCGGGCACTCCATCTACCCTCCTCCTCCTCCTCCTCCTCCGCCCCAGCTGGCCCGCCCACTCTAGCCAGGGAACCCACCGTGGCGACACTAGCTAGAGCTCAGGTGAGAGATAAAATGACGAAATCACAACGAAAGGATTGAATTGTAGTATCGCATCTTACTTACATGTAATTAACTCCAATCCAATCCTAATACAAATATATCAGCATATCAAAGAAATTTAAAGTTTCTTTCCCCTCAAAATACACACACGCATACAAAAACTTTTTTCGCTCATCAAAGTAAGCAATATGAGGCTACTAAGTGTATATAATATATGCCGCAACCCATTAAGCCGAAAAAAAAACAAATTTCCAATAGGCCGGACATTATTAAAACAGCCAACATGCTCAAAGTGTGTTTGTGGCAGTAATTGCAACAGAAAACCAGGAGATAGATGAGTCCTGTTAACAAAACTGTTTACAGGAAAGAAAGACTTTCTTTCCTGTAAACAGTTTTGTTAACAGGACTCATCTATCTCCTGGTTTTCTCCTGGTTTTCTTCGAGTAAGACAATTTAATCACCCCTTATGAAATATATTTAAAAACCCTGACGAGGTATTTTAAGGCAGCCAGACTCTTGCTCGAAGAATCACCTTTAGTTATAGTCAATTTTTGATCTTCAAAAAACAGAGCCGTCTGATTCTCCTATTTGATTACCAGTCGTCCAGCAGTGACTCTTCTCTTGAGCCTCGCAACGGACTGTACCCGGGTGACTACGTGACGTGCAGTGAGGACCCGGAGACGATGCAGTTGATGCAGGAGGAGTACGGGGGCTGGAATGACCGCATGGCAGGCATAATCGGATCAGTCTCCGTGGTCAAGGGTAGGTCACAGCAGTGCCACTCAAACCAACCCCTCTTCTTTGCATATTCGTTTACACTCATGTTTTTAGTTATATAGTGTGTTTACTTAGCAATTTCAGCAGGGTTGTTGTTTTATTTTTGTTTTTTATTAGTTGAAAAAGGATTTAAAACAGTGTTTTTCACCCATGATAAAAACATCCGGCAAACTAAAACTTTTGCTTTGTTTCAAAACGTATCGTTGAAGACACAACTCAAAATTATGATTTGTTCTCCAAAACACTGAGGCAGAATGCCAACTTAGACACCTTTTGAGGGCCCACACGATTTCTTAAATCGCTACGAATGAAAATCATGGAGCTAAAAAGTTGCTCATTTCCAGCCGAACTTGAAGCAATGATAAATTTCAAATCTGCTAGACTTGCAAAAGATTCTGATATTTTTCCATGCAGCTTTTAGAGATGAAAAAATATTCAGTGTACAATACAGAGTCAGTGGTGTATATCTGTTTCCTGTTTTCTTTTCCGCCGCCAATGAGGCTCAGGTGAAGGTTTCTCTGCAAACACTCAGTCAACGCACGTGTAAACTCGGGTTGTGATAAGCCCGCTCTGATGTGCTTAGGGTAAAGGCAAAAATAACCAAAAGTTTTGATATCGAAAGGTTAAAGCGAATATCTGCAGCTCCTCTCCACTCCTCTCCTCAGAGCTCTGCCGACAACCGCTTCCATGCAGGCACGCCATCCGTAACAGTAACTTTATTTATCATTTGCGGGACCAATTCGTAAGAACTCTGCCTTTTGAGCGAGAACAAAACAAAACTACCTCACCTTAAGACCAAGTGGGAAGGAGTCTGGAAATCGTTAAGGCTCAATGACAAAGATAGTTCACTTCCTTACAGATTTGTAGAGTATGTTGTTTGCTTGACAAAACTCCATTTTTCTGCCACCCTCACAGACGAGAGCGCAAAACGCGCAAGTTCAGTGCATTGCAACAAGCAGCAGCGAGTTAATGTTTTAGACTATTTGGTGAGAAGGGATGACGATCTCGCAAAATAAGTGTCAGATTTTTTTAGAAGATTTTCTGTAATGACTTGCTTTCCCAGCTAGGGAACAGACAGAATTGAAAATTCAATCTCTATTCGGCTCTCTGGGAGAAACTCAAGTTTGTTCCCGGAACAAGCAGGGAATTATACGGAAGAGGAATTAACTTTCGAAAGATTTCGACTGTTTGCAAATTTTTCAAATGTTCCTCAGAGTAGCTTCGCTGTGCTTAGGTTTCAATGGCAACGGGGGAGTGGTCATTTCGGGGAGGGGAGATGACAATGTGGGCGATGAGTGGCACGTGTACGCAGGAGCACTCACCAGGGTGGAGGGAGACTCTGTCATTATTGGGGTGGGAGACCACGTCAAGATAGCCTCACAGGGTGAGCATTTCTTCGTATTAAATCTACAAAAAATATTATTTTTGGAACTTATCGGTCTTAGATGCTGTGATATCTTTCTTCTGTTTTCTAGATGGGGGAGATAGTGACTCGAGTAGTGAGGGTATCACCTTGTATGACAAGAGGGGAGTGGTGCGCAAGTGCCATGGCAGTGGCGAAGACTTCACTGTGGTAGTGAGGAGTGGGGACATGACCACAACCTGTGAACAGATATCCTTCGACCGACTCAAAAAGTGAGAAGAGAGAACAACTAACTTTTTAAATACGTTTCGTATGTTCTACAGTGCTCATTTGAATTATCCGGACAAAACGAATAAGACTTGAAAAAATAAAAAATGTTTTCTCAAATTGAATGGACTTTACACAAAAAATGATGGACGAAAATTGCTTAGAATTTCAGGTAAATTAATATGGTGTAACTTGTTTTGCGGAACTGGGGCCCAAGGTTTCGCCCACCCATCAAGGATTCGACTACCTCCCAACCCAAAGGGTCATCCCTTTGCACTATTTTGAGATACCCATATTTGGTGACGGACCCTTAAAATTTTCTAAAGGCGCCTTCAGCGCCAATCTATAATGTTTTTGGGAGGGAGTGCGCGCAGAAAAAACGAGAAAAAAAGCGCGCGCCGAAAAGTGCATAAAACGCCTTTTTTGGCTTGTTTTTTCAAAAATTTTCCTGCGGCGCAGAAAGTTAGGCCAAAACAGGGACCTTTTACTGCTTTGGGAGAGCTCGAAAAATCATTCGAAAGGTCTGATGTTCGAGGCCCACCATGATCCGTGCTCGTTGCTTAAGGGTAAAGCAACATTACCCAGCCCAGAGAAAATAACCAAAAAAATAGCAAGTAGTTCTTAAACAGGGGCACAACTGCGGTTCGCCGTGATGAGCTGTACAGCTCTTGTGTTGGTCCTTTCCCATGTGGATAAATGGTCTTAATCTTAATGTGGTCGACCTAAAAAAAAGTCTACAAAATTTGGTTAGAAAAAAAGTTGACAAAATCCGCAACCCCCCACCCCCAGCCCCCACTTCGAGAAAATCCTAGATCCGCCTCTGACTGTATTTAATTTTTTTTATCAGGCTAAAGGTGCCGAGTTAACTTCAAAATTTGCAAAAAGCTCAAATCAATCAGATGACCGTTCTTTGAAATTATGTTGAGAAATAACTCAACCAAAACCAACCTAACAAAAAAATATTGCATGCGTTCGTGCTTTTTACTTGCAAAAAATGACGAGATGCTCAAATATGAGAAATGATTGTGCATCAATCTACCTAATGTTTGCTGCTGCGCTGGCAGGTGTATGCAGCCAGTGATCATGGTGGGGGATGAGGTGATGATTGTGAATGACACTGAGTTGGTGCAGACTCTGCAGGAGGAGGTGAAGCTGCCAATCCCCTCCAATCTCTCTCTCCTGCTGGGCAAGAAGGGCAAGGTCACCAAAATCACCACCATGGTTGACATCGCTGTCAGATTCAGTCTCTCACAAGGTCACATTACTCTAGTTTCACTTTTTAAACAATTATGAGCAGAAAGTCAATCAAAGCGCAAACGAATAGGCCAGTATATTTCCTTCTTTGTTTCATAGTTCAATTTTTTGTTAACAGATCGTCAAACTCAAAACGCTTGGCGGGATAGCGAAGAACGTCAAAAAGATATTTGCAGAGATGCAAGCAGGGGCGGAGGCCTTCTCCTTTCAGGAACTCCTAACCCTTCCAACCTAAAAATTACCCAAATTGATAATTAAAGACATCCATTTTTGGCCGACTCTCCCTTAACTTTTTCTAAAGGCACCTCTGGCGCCGATATGTACTAATTTCGAGGAAGACGGGCACGCCAAAAAACACGACTTTTTGGTCAATATTCTTCGAAAAGTGCCTGAAAACGCCTTTATAGTGATTTGGGAGAGCTTAGAAAAAAAACAGGAATGGTCAATTATTTAGGTGTCGTCTCAGAAGTGTTTCTAAATGCGCGCCTTCTCTTCAAAGTGGCCAGTCGACAACCATTCAGACTGGGCGACAAAGTGGAGGTCAGCGAATCTCTAGCAAGCTTCAAGGGTTTGCAGAAAGAACATGGGGGATGGAACGAGAGTATGAGTGACTTGGTGGAAGAGACAGGGACTGTGGTGAAAATATTCACTGACAGTACAAGGGGTCACAAGAAAGACGACTTGGTAGTGTTGTTCCCACAGGCAAAGGAGCCATTCGTGATCAACCCGGCTGCTGTCAAACTGCATAATGACAACAGTTTTGATGAAGACGACGACGTAGTATGTGTTCTTCCCATTGAGTTGATGAAAGTGGTACTTCCCAGGGGTCACATGATGAGGGGATTTCATCAATTGAAGCAGAAGATTTTTGAGGTCAGGTTTGTTTCAAAATAGCAGCAGATGTAGCGAGGGGGGAGGCGTACGCACCCAAACAAGGATTTGGTTTTTCTTTGGGTTCTTCTTTGGTACTTTTTGCCGACATTCATTTACGGCCCTCTGGAATCTATTTTAAAGTTGCTTTAAGCGCCCAAGTATATTAATTTTGAGAAAGGGGGTCGCATGCCGAAAACACGATTTTTTGGTCCAAATTTTCCAAAAAGTGCTTAAAAACGCCTTTTTTGGCCAATTTTTTCAAAATTTTCCCTGCGGAACAGAAAATTAGGCCAAATCAGGGACTTTTTAGTGCTTTGGGAGAGCTCGAATAATCAATTTGGTCGACCTAAAAAAATGTCGACAAAATTTTCGAAAACTTTGGAAAATCCGCCCTCTCTCGAGAAAATCCTAGATCAGCCTCTGTACAAGAATAAACAGATCAGAAGGTTAAAGCCAGTCTGCTCGTGTCAGCCCAAAGCTTTCAAAAAGGTAAGAAACTCAAGTTTTGTTTTCGAACCTCGAATCTTCAGTTCCTCCTCACCTTCGGTGGTCTGGTCTCAGCAATAAGAATAGCGGATCAGTAATTTCTTGCCCAAGAAGAACACTATCTTCCAATCACAACAATTTTTACCTCAGGATTTTTTTTTACTGCCGAACGATACTCAGCTAGATTTGAAAGAAAAAGTTGTTTATGCATCTGTTAATTGCAGAAGGGAGAGGTCACTTCAGTGGAGGGCGAGGGTGAGTATGCACTTGTGGGAGTGAAATATGATGACGGCGTTGAGATGGAGTACTTTGCCAAACACTTGCACCAGTGGCCATGCTCTGGAGAGCAGGTGGCACACATGCTGCTAGATGCACTCAACACATTCATGGCATTCCAAATCAGTGCCTCAGAAAATGAGAACGAGAGCAATGAGACAGAAGAAGGTACACACCTAAAGCACCTTTTCGCGAGGAAACTAGAGACTTGAGTATTGTATGGACCGATATTTTTATTACTAACCAAACCTTCATTTTTCCAGTGGCATCGCCGGACGTGTTTGAGTTAAACCTATCGGAGAAGAATTCTCGGATCGTTTCCAATTGATCTATTTATTATACCCGATGCACAATGTTCTATTGGCTCGAAAAAAACTATTGCTATGATTAGTATCATGTATAAAGCACATAGACAAACGCAACATACATCAATGATCAATGTGATAGCATGTTTGACTGACACGGTCAAGATGAGCCTTTCAAGACATCAGAGCACTTGACCACAAGCTGCAAAATTACGTTGAACATTGAAGCAAGATGCGTCACACTAACATTAACAAGACATGCTTCAGTTTTTGACGGAATTTTGCATTGTTCTTTATTTTTATTTGCAATAGGCTCCTCAATCAGACCCATAAAACTGAGGTATCTTTAGACTCTTCTGCCGCCACCAGCCCAACTCACTCCACTGCCCAAGTGCGAGAGTGTCCCCTCTGTTTCGAGTCAGAGGACGTCCAGTGGGTCTCCTTCCGCTGTGGCCACCTGCTCTGTCAGGACTGTGCCGAGAAGATCTTAAACCTCTCCTCCGCCCCTGGACACAGACGCTGTCATCTGTGCAAGGAGCCAGTGGACGAATTCATTCGACTCTATCTTTAATTATCATTTACATCAATTTGTAATAGTGAGAGACATTTAAAAAAACTTTTACACCCCGTTGAAAACTTGAGATCAGATCTGTTAAATGTTGCCTGCTAATTTAAATTTTTACTCAACCTTCTAGATAAAGTTAAATGTAAGAACATTAATATAAAAGCCAGATCTTTCAGAAACTGAAACACAGTTATACAGTTTGCGCAAGTTTATTGGTTGAATTATGACTAATAACAGTTAATTTGATTCTTGTAAAATAAAATTGTTGAAATTAGATGTTCGAATTTCATTTTTTATTGCGTTCTTCTGATCAATTTCAAATCTATCTAAAAATGATAGCAAAAGCTCGTGATGTCTTTATTCAGATTCTAAATGTAGTTTTAAGAAAACATAGGATTTAAGCACAACTTGAGATTGGCTAAAACTCGAATGAATGTCACATTGTTTTGTAACTGGACATCAATATGTTGATGTTACATTTATTCTAAATTAAGTATTAATTTGGTTTCTGAAATACAATCCAGATTAGTTTGATTATTTTTGTTATTCCACCAGCAATCTAAATATCAATACCTCTCAACAACTTTTTGAAAGCAAGTAACGTTTAGTTTAACTTTGTTACCTGTGTGTATCTTTGGTAAAGCTGGATTTACTCCGCCACTTTTTTTTTGAAGTATTTTCTTAGGTAATAAAAAAAAACTAGCCGGCAGACAGTTAAAAAAACGATTAAGCAACTAATTAAACGAATATTAAACGAATATTTGTACAGAATCAAAAATGCGGACGCTCTTTCAACCAGGGATTCGACACCGTGATCACCCCAAGGGTCCCTTTTGTACTATTTTACGACATCCGTTTTCGACCAACCGAGCCTAAAATATTTCCCAAAGTGCCGTGGACGACAACATAGACTTATTTTAAATGGCGCAAACTTCAGAAAAAAAACACCTTTCAAAAAGTGCCCAGAAAATTTTCTCAAAAAAAAAGATCTTCATAGTGTTTTGGGAAAAAATTTTGAAAACCCCTTCAGACAATCTTAGATCCGCGTCTGAGTACAATAATATATGATTGCACTTCTCTGCTTATTAGAGCATTTTAAGATTGTTTCCTGCAACAAAAACGAGGAAAAAAATCAATACATTCTGAATCAGTCTTCCCACTGTTTGTTGACGCTTGAAATAAACAGCGATCTGCATCGTAATCTATTTATTTTACTATTAAACTCGGCTGTTCATCTTGTCATCTTGGCATCTGACTAAGCGAGAATTAAAGCTTCCAGTAGATACAAAGAATTTTGGTCGGGAAAAGACTTAACGAATATTGGAAACTAATTTTCCAACTGTAAGCTTAGCACAAGAGTAACATTTTAACTTAGGATTGGACTTAATCAACAGTGAAACTGCAGAAAAAAAATTCTGCCCATGAAAATTCTGCACGCTTTTCCTCTGCCAATTGACCAGGCATAAACTCAGCAAAACTTCGCTTATTTGCTCATCATTACTCAAAAGAAAGAAACAAACAATGGCCTTCCAAGTTTTGGAAACTATTCAGAAAATTTATTCCCAAAAAGCGACTTTACAAATTGAATAAGCCTAGGTTTCGAACTGCCACCGACTAGCGACAACCGTTTAACCAACTGCATAGTCCAAGGAAAGTTCTGACCACATTTTCGGAAACCACATTTTCAAGTTGGTGTGTTTTCTTGCACGTCGTGTGATGATAGAGTTTAATCTACGTGTAGAAATTCAATGAACGCGCGCAAATTCAGCGATACAACACAAACATAAACAAGACTGCTCGTATCAGGGCAAAGCCCTGAATGTTCCGACTGCTTTTTAAGGTTTATAGAGCAGTAATACCATTTAAAAAAATAAATGAAATAAAACACGCCAAATAAAGTACAAAAGGATAGATTTCGCTCCTTGTAACAAATCAATTATAGCGAATAAGCTTCTTTCAACTAATTTGGAACGCTTATTAAGACGGATTAATTCTCCGCTTACGCGTTAATAGCGCGAAATATATCGCGCGTTAATTGTCCCAAATTGGCCAAAATGGCAATCTTTAAACCCTCGTAACTTCACTAAAATTAATCACAGGTGAAATATCTTTTCAAATTTGAGCTCAAGACAACAATACTTTTTCAATGATATAAAAAATTGTCAAAAATGGCTGGTTAAAAAGTCGAAATATGTCTGAAGAAAAAAAACCCACGCCGAGCACAAATATTCCGTTACTTTCGTATCGAAAGTCGGAACAAAAACGTAAAACGCAAAAAAATTTCATGTTGAAAAAAAAAATAGGTGAATCAAAAATTTCAAGATAAAAAACTATTAAGGACCCAGCTAAAGCTGAAGATATGAGTTCAATTTTGAATGAATTTGCTATACTGATGCGGCACAAAAATGTGATTTTAAAACTAGTTTTTGTCCAAAACCTTAGTTGTTTCTTTCGTGAAATAAGTGAGAGGTGTAAAAACAATTTAGAGGTAATCATGCAGATAACATTTCATGCAGAAAAATTTTTCCATGCAGATAACATTTCTCTAACAAAAAAAATGACAAGCCGCCCTTTCTGCAGGAGCCATTATTGGAACCGTTTCTTTCCGTCAAATTGTGTATTTCAGATTTGACTTTATAAATTTTAAGGAAATTCGAAAAGTTTCAAAAACGGTCAAAAGTTCTACAAGACGATCAAAAGACTTTCTACAATCCATAACATTTTTTTCTGCTAAAAGCAAGTTTATATCGCTTAAACACGTACTGTAATTTTTGCGTAAAGTCAGAACATTTGCTAAAAATAACAGTCAAAGTTTTAAAACTTCGAGGTTTTTGAAGGCCATAACTTTTTCTTACAATAACTGGGCAGAGCCAGTTATATAGGTAGGCTTCACCAAACTTGTTGTTTCGATTAAACCTATGATACTAGATTTGGCAGGATAGTTACCGAGAAAAGTCTAAAAAAACGGTCAGCTCTTCAACAATTTGACATTTCGGAGAATCATAGATTTTTAAGCAAAAAAATAGCGCGTAGCCGCCTATGCAGAAGGGATTCACTCAAATTTAAATTTCGATTGAACCCGAAATCTAAAATTTGACAAGGATAGCTCTCGAGAAGGGTCAAAATGTTTTTAAAAAATGGTTAAAACCAAAAACTTGACTATTCCGAGGGCCATAACTTTGTGTACAAAAAAAGTTGCAGCCGTTTATGCAGTGAGCTTTTTGAAGCCACTCTGTTCGATGAAAGCAAAAACTCAGATTTGAGACGGGAACTTTTCGAGAAAAGGAAAAAAAAATTAAAACGATGGGTCAAATATTTCCCAACAGACTTTTTCGAAGGCTGTAGACAGATATCAAGTAAATAAAGACTCTAGGGGAGTATACAGGCAAACAGGGGACTAGGATATCTTTCAATTGATACCCTTTCAATTGAAACAGGGGAGTAGGGGATCTTTCAATTGATACAAATCAGCAGAAGTTTCTGAGAAAAACTAAATTTTGTTACCCTTGAATTTACCCAAAAAGTGAGTCATTAAGCCGATAAAAATAGGCCGAAACAATTTGGACCGAAGAATTTTTTCAAAGCGAAACAAGAAAACAAAGAAGGAATAAGAAGTCAAAGCAAGAAAAATTACAAATTGTACGAGTAAATCAAACACTAAGAGCAACATTAGAAAAAAAAATGCTCACAGCAAAAAAAATGATTTCAAGATGTGACAAAAGTTTTTTCGAAATACTTTTTGTTGTGAGAGAAGCGCTAAGCAAAGCGTCCAACAAAATAATATGTTCTTTAAGTAAAATCAAGTAATTTTTAGCCTTAATTAGCAATTTTTATACATTACGGACGATACTCGGTCGATTTACTCGCTAGCAAATAGACGAAAAACTAAAAATTTAAAACAGGTTTAGCCCGACAGTAGATTTTTTTATTCAAACATGTTTTAAATTCGTTCAAATCACGACTGAAAAGGCTTTAATATGATAAATCACTCCATGCATTCCGAGGAATAATTATCTTACCTGATTTTTGATGCAAAACAAAAACAAAACAAAAAAAACTCAAAGACATCCGAACACAAAGTTCCTCTACATTTTTTTATATAGTCGCAACATTAAGCAATTCAATTTGAGCAAAATGAAATAAATATATGTAAAAAGATCGTTATTTAGAGCAAAAACGTTTTCACGAAAAACCTAGTCGATAAACTTATTATTTTACTAGTTTAAGGAAAATGAGTGTTAATTTGCAATAAACTTAAATCAGACTATCTATCTAGCACAATAAAGTTGCAATAGGTTCTATAGGGTTATTTTACAAAACTTTCCATAAAATTTCGTTCATTAAATAGATAGTTGCTTTAATTAGCTCATCTAAAAAATGGTCTAAAAGTTTGAAGAAAATGAAATTCTTGAACAGAAGAACTTGCGGCTTTTTTTCATGAAAAAAACTGGCAGAGGCATGTGGACAAAAAGAAAAATATCCAAAAATGCGCCCAATGTTCTCCGAAAGAGTCCCGAAACTAAGTTATTTTTTATCGTTTTAAGGCTATTACACTTTAATTGGATCGTTTGTCAAATTTTGTTTGATAATTTTGCTCAGTCAAGTAAAAAATATGAGAAAATTCCAAGCGCATGGTAAGGCACAACACAAGACAAGAGTTTTCACAGTATTCTTGATTCATGCGAAAAATTTTGAAATCTATTAAAATCGGGAAACACAATAAAAACTGAGTGACGAAGAGCTCTCTGATCAGTTGTCTCATACTTAATACCCTGCTGCTTCTGAATGCAACAATTTATACATTTTGGAGAAAAACTTCAGAGTGCCAATTGATCCATTAACAATGGCAACCTTCTAATTTGCAACATATTTTCAACAACACAAAGTGTTGTTTTCATAGTATTTTTGATTTATGCGAACAAATTAGGCTGTTTTTTTCTTAAAGATTAAACTTTGAAAATTTGATCATTGGTCTAACTATTAAAAAAATGACAAATTTTTCCAACTCTGATCTACCTAATCGATTTTTTGAAAAATAGAAATGCAAAAACTTAGAAAACCGATGCAATTTTCAAGTAACGATGTGATGTAAATGATAGTGTGGTCGACATGCGCAAACTGAAAAACACAAAAAACTTCTAGACTACACTTGTTATATATTTTTTTACAATTTAAAGAAAGTACTTTTTTGTCGGTCGACGTATAAGTCGAAATCACTTAAATATCTTTATTGCAATGTTTGAGTAGCAAACATGACTTCGTATACTATTTTATTCATGATATTTTCCTAACTCTTTTTCGCGGGTGTAGCCTCGAAAAAAGGAACGTTTTTCCTAGACAACACAAACACTTCTGGTTTTACAATGCCTGTTGGCTAATTTTATCAAAAAACTTGGTTGGTCATTGCACTCTGTAAAACGTTCGTAATGTGAGCAAAATTTTATGGAAAAAATATATGACCTTGAAGCTCTTTGAATTTTTTTGAATAAAGTTTACAAAATTTCAGACAATTGGCACAATAGGTTAAGTTTTAATCCGCTAAAAATTGTCCTAATTAATACTCAAAGTGATCAGTTTCTCCAAATCTTCAGTAAGTTTGCTTTTGCAGAGTGTAAAGTTCCTGCTAATTGACAAGTGATTTTGAAATCAACATGAAAAAGTCAAAGTACAAAAAAAGATTGGGCGTGCACAAATTTTTGGTAATTTTTCCTGTAAAAAAAGGAAGAAAAATCCAACAAGACATAAGAAGATGCCTTCAATTAAATATTAACACTCAAAAAGCTTCTGATATAACCTAAACAAATAAATGTTTATATATGGGACATCATTGCTTCAAGTTAAAGTATCACGCGCAGTAGTTTTTTCAGCTAAAAAGAATACCTGAGCATTTTTTATTTCAGGTAAAAAAAATAAAGCAAAAAATTCCAACCAAGCTACTTTCAAACAGCCGAAGTCTTACAAGTCGAAACAATTGTTAAGGCAAACGAGCCATTAGAAATAGATAAACTGAGTGGGAACAAATTTGATAAACATCAACTCAGAGATTCCAGAAATTATTAAAGAATGAAAACTGAGGTTCGCAGTAAAAAATTTAAAAAGTAAATTTGAAACTGTTTTGGAAACACAACCAACAGATAGTTGGATAGAAGAGCCAGAAAAAGACAAGTTTTCGCAGTTTTTTTTTACCACTTGAACTTTGTAGACATACGTCATCAAGTCATTTTGATACTACTCTGATCAATTCATCAAATGAAGGGGAAAAATACGCTGGTTAACCTTTAAACTGAACCCAGATTTCAAATTAACTCATTTTTCCGGTTTCTTGTTTAAGGAAGGTTTTGCTAGCTCTTTTTTCTAAAACAATTTCCGATTTGCAAAAAACTGCGCGATGCTAGCCCAAAAAAAATAGTTAAAAAAATGTTCCACAAAACTTATAGAACTTGCAAAAAAAGTTATGCAAAGAAATATTTTGGTTTAAACTAGCGAGCCCTTCGCCATAAATCAATCGGCTTGCAGAAGTTAATTGTTGAGCAAACTATTCAAGCAACGACACTTTCTTTGAAAACGTTACTTTACATGATTAATCAGTTTGCGAAAATTCATGTTTTCACTGCAAGCTATTCAATCAATCGACGAAACTTGAACACACTTCAAAGTTATTCAGCTTGAACTGCTTCACTATTTTTTTCGGGCAAAATATTCTAGCGTATGAAATTTTGAAATGGTCGAAGTTTCGAAATTTTGAATTACCATCAATCAATTCACAAAAAGCTCAAACATTTTCTTGATATTTAAGCAAGCAACGGCTTTAACAATTGAAGTATTTGAAGTTACAGTCAAGGGTGAATCGAAGCGATATTTATTTGAAGCTCAAACCTATTCACAAAAATTTTTCAAACGCATTCCAGTCACAATTTTGGAAATTCATCAAAACGATTTATAGCCTCAATTGGCTTACCCGGTCTGCTTTTCTTTGGCAAGCTAGTGAACCAAAAAAGTTTTGAAACTACTCAATTTTATTTCATAGAGCGAATCGGTTCACGAGAATTTTAAATTTTACTAAGTAACACTCTCAACCGAAAAAAAATTGAAATATGCCAAGACTTCATTGAACTATTAACAAACAGCAAGAACGCAAAAAGGAATTCTGGAAAACGGCACTGAAACTGCTAAAAACCACAACAATATTTTGACAAATCTTAGGAAATTTGGTGATTTGAATTTAGATTATCAAACCAAGAGCTATGTGCGCCTTTTGCATTCGAGGAAAACAGATCATATATGACTACACTGTCAGACACAATTCTTTAATTACTTTTAAGCTATTAGAAGTGCCAAAAACTTAAATAATTGTTTCAGCTAACCGGCATCGCGGAATCTGTGTCACAGGGCAATTTTTATATATTTTTTTTTGCTTTGCAACCTACAAGAAAAAATCCATTTTTGAAACACAAAATCTAGCTTCAAAATCTAGATTCATAAAGATCTAATTGTTTCGCTTATTATTTAAAAAAATGGTTTTGTTCAAGTGCTAAGTATTACGTTGTCAATCATTGAGAAACAAAACTTGCCTAACAGGCAATGGAAAAGTCACCTTGAGTCAACAAGCTCAGGGAAACAAAAACAATCGCTTACTTTATTCTTACTTTCATTTTTTTCGAAAAAAATTAATTTAAAGAAACTTTAAAAATGGACTCTGACAAGATAACTTTAACACAAGTTGAGAAACAGGCATCAATATGTAACTTTATTTCTTCCACTGGGAAACCTAAAACTTAAATCCACTCAAACCGAAAGCATTCACGTTTTTTTTTTTTGGATTGTGTTATTATCCTGCGTCATTTACTGTGCTTTTGACAAACGAAACTAAACTTAAAAATTCAGGAAACAATCTGCGAACACTTAAGTTTGATTTTGAAAACTATAGCCAACTGACAGTTGGAAAAGAGTAATGAACGCAAGGAAACAGAAAACAAATATGCCCTCAAAAGCTCTTCGAATTTCACGAACAATTTATCAGTGGTGCTTTCTTGACAAAATTAACCCAATTTGAGAAAATTGCATCAATCAGTCAATTTATTATTTCGCTAGAAAATCTGACACAGAGACGAAGCTGAGCTTCGAGCCACTTGCAATACAAAACAATGAAAAAAGAGAAAAATCGATCATGTCAGAAAACTAGATCTATCAAAATGAAAAAAACTAGTTTTGAAACAAAAACATGACAAGACTATAGAATGTGAAATTATCATCTCAAGATAATGTGCGCAGCGGATACGAAGCAAAAAAAACTTGTCAAAAACCCTTTACGCCGAAAAAATCAACGTTTAAGAATTATGAAAACTTAATAGGTCATTCGTACCGTCAAAACACTCAAACAACTTTATTTGCTCGTCAAATGAAATAATCTGAGGCCACTAAGGCAACACAAAATACGTCCCCCTCACTCCCAAACAAAGACACGCACATGCACACTTCTCTCGCTAATCAAAAGACGCAATATAAGGCCAGTAAGACGATATAATGTGAGCCGAAACCTATCAAGCCGAAAAAAGTCTAGTACGGGAAAAAAGTCTAGTACTCGATTGCAATAATTAAACTCCCTTTTCGAAATTAGAAGTCGACAAAGTTTTTTTTGACATTTTGCTGATCGATAGTGGATTTTGTCTTGCTTTTAACAATGGAAAGACGGTAAACTTAAAAAAATTCAAACCGCGAAAAATCAAAATTGAGCGTGAATAAATTTTAGACTTTTTCCTGGAGAAAAAAATCGCCCATACCTATATAAGAGTACTCACTACGTTCATTACTCTTAAGAAACGATACATTACTTCACTTCGTTCATTGACACGTACAAAGCTTCACGTTCAAAACAGCCAACTGAGAGTTGGAGAAGTGTAATAATCGCAAGGAAATAAAAAAAACTGATTTGCTTTTGAAAAAAGAAACAACTTCTAATTTCGAAGAAAACATATAGATCCTCAAACGCTCTTTGAAGTTCACGAACAATTTATGATTGAGGCTTCATTCATAAATTCACCCAATTTGAGACAACTGATCAATAGGTAAATTTTTTATTTCGCTAGGAAATCTGATAATTAAATTCCATATTCGAAATTATAAGTCGATGACGTTTTGCATCACCTTTACACTTTTGTTGCTGGATAGCGGAGTTTGCTTTCATTTTAACAAAAAAAATGAGTGAACTTGAAAATAAATCAGATGTCAAACCGCGAAAAATCAAAACTGAACGTGAACAAATTTAAAGACTTTTGCCTGAAAAAAACTAAAAAAATCACAAAGACCTATATAAGAGAACTCAATACGTTCATACTCTTAAATACAAGAGAAATTTCCGCCAGAAATTATAATCAGATATAAATCAATTCAAAGAAGAACAGAACATACAATATGAACATATTTACAAATTGAGAGATATTGAAATGAGTTTATTTTGGTTTGAGAATTTTGACTAGCGTCTCTAGGCGTTCTTTCTCGGCACAAGCTTTTTCGTACGCACTAAGGAGCTCTCGGTCAACTGCATTGGTCGGCGAATCTATAAAATTAAAATTTCACATTTCTCCGGTACATAATTTTCAGCATAGAGCATACATAGCCAACAGACAGTTGAAGTCTCAATGAACTCAAAGATACTTAAAATATTTGAATTAATTCGTTTTAAAAATTTCAAATTTCTGGTTTTAACATACGAGTTTCGAGAGACTGCAAACAAGAACCTTTTATGATTGAAACTTTTTTGAACATAGCCAATCGAAGATTGGAAAAGAGTAATGAATGCAATGTACATAAAAAACACTGATTTTCTTGAAAAAATCTCAACTTTCGAATTTCAAAGAAAAAAGTAAATGCCTTTTAGCCCTTTGAATTATGGCGCTTTTTTGATAACATGAATTCAACTTGAGAAAACTGGATCAAAAGATAAAGTTTTTATTCCGCTGGAAATCTAAAAGTAAATTCCACTTTCGAAACTAGAAATCGTTCACGTTTTTTGCGCCCTTTCCATGTTCGTACTTAGAGAGTGCTATTTACGTCACTTTTAGCAGATGAATTTTAACTGAACTCAAAAAGTGCATTATACCTAAGTGCATCAATATTTTCCGGGAAAAAAATCAGCAAAACCTATATAAGAGTCTTCACTAGGTTCATTACTCTTAATAAAACTACCCGAACTGGGAAACCTTAAAATAAAAAACCCTTTCTCAATCTCGTTATGAACGTTTTTTTTGCACTTTCTTCATAGGATAGCAGATTTTTTTCTTCCTTTTAGCAAATGAATTTGCATTCAGCTGAAAAAGACGAAATTGAAAAAGCGAAAAAACAAACTTGAGCGTTTACAAAGACTTTTTTCATAATAAATACACTTCATCTTATTAAGTATGTTCACTTTGCTTACTGACACTTAATAACCCATTCAACAAATTCTCTGAAAAGTCAAGGGAAGACAGCAAACAAAATCTACCTAAGACATTGTCTTCTTGCGATGTGTTTTCGTGGTCACTTTCCATAAGAACTCGCTCCACTTCACTGTCGGATATCTCCTCCGCGTCACTGGAACCCTCGCCCTAAACCACACGAATAGGTGTCAAGGAAACAAACTATCGAACATATGTGATAGCTAAGACTTTTTCTCCAGATAAATTTATAAATTCATAACAGACAGTTGTAAAAGAGTCAATGAGTGCAAGTAAACAGAAAACAACACTGATGTGTTTTGTTTTTAATTTCAAATTCCGAATCTCAAACAAAAACCGACTCTTAATGATTCAAATGAGCTTTTAAAAAAAATTTTTACCTGGTAGATACCGTTTTTTATTTCAAGTATTCTATAGCAGCGAATTAATCCCCCTGCCGAAGCTGATACAATTTGATTGCTCAGATCCAAGGAATATGTTAGATCTATTACAATCAGCACTCGCAATTAATTAAAAGCGCAGCATTGTCAGCAAAATGGATCGAACAACGAACAGCTTTTCTTGAAGTTAAGAAAAGGATAAGTACTCTGTTACTTACGCTCGCACATATGGAGCCATTAATTGAAGTTCCTTCCACGTCATCAATAGCCTCTTCTGTTGTCCCATCTCTTTGTTTGACTGTTTCCACGCCTGAAGATTTTTCTTTTCTAGCTGGTATGCTTTGCTGTTCTTCGCCTTCTGTTTGTACAAATGCATCACTGAAAGTTCGATTAGGTTCGGAGACCGCAGAAGTATTTACAATTGTATCATCATTCTGCTGATTCCCTTGAAATAAGACTTCAACAGAAACCTGGGTACCAATTTCTCTTATGTTTCTTCTCTGATTTTCCTTTAGATAATCATGTGACCCTTTAGGATTCGCTAGTTCCTGAGACAAGGTCGACACTTGATCAGCAGTCGATAAACTTTCGCAAACTGATTCAGTTTCAGCTTCAAAGTCTTCCGAATAATTATAATTGGCCGAGTGCCTGTAATAATTTTCAACTTCAGTTTGCACAGCTGAACTGGATGTTTCCGCTTTAGATGTTAAATGCACACCGGACTCTTTGGTTTCGGACCCATAAGGACCTATTCGTGATATTGATCCATTTTCTACAGTTTCATCTATGTTCTGAGATTCTTGCGCTGCCTCAGACCCTATCGTTTCATTGGACTCCTTAGATACAACAGGTGTCAGCTCCTCTGAATTGATAGCTATGACTTCTCTAAACATACTTGATTCGCGAAACACACACTGTTCAGGAACAGCAACATGCAGTTTCAGATCGACATGTTTAAGTCTAGGCTTTGTGACAACATGGTCACTTTTGCACCACATTAAAGTGTCGGCTGATGACTTGATAACACTCACTAAACAAGGAAGGTCCTTTTTAGATACTGATTCAACCTTTTTGCTCTGGGTGGAAACTGATTTAACATTATCCAATTCTAGCTTTGAAACGGGAATGTTTATCTTTTCATGGATCCTGTCGTTTTCCCGAGTCTGATGTTTCACTTCAGTAACTTGAAAAGAAGACTTCGCTGGAGCTAGTGGTGCCTTTTGCAGTTTGGTCTTCTGGTGACTTCTTTTCTTTGGCACAAAGTGAATCTTTTCGGCAACTGAGTCGTCAATAAGGTTTTCTCGTTTGTCCTGTGAATTTGGTAATTGAAGAGGCACCTGCTGTCCACTCGCAGTTGATACAATGCTTATCGTTGATGCATTCAATGTTGTGTCTAAAAATTTATCGGACAGAAATTAGAGCGGATATTTTTAACGCACGTTACCACACATTATTTATTCCATAGCAGTTATTTTTACCCTTTTCCCAAAAGTTTACAAGGTCAACCAGTTTGAAGAAAAAATACGAAAAATAAGTGTTATACCGTGATATGTTACAATAGGTGGTAATTTTGAGTATAGTGCATGTCTTACATTTGAGAACTATAATGCATAATATAGTCATTTCATTATCAATCAATTGTACCTGCTACTATGTTATTCAAAAAATTAAATTTTACACTTCTGTTAGAAGTATAACACAAAGCTATCCAGCTATTTGCTTGAAGCTGCCACCTATTGTAACATATTGTACTTCAGAGATTTTCTTTATAGATACTCAGTGATCTGTATATAACTTTCCTAACACGCATATATTGGTCACATTTGTAAGCACAAATTTTCAACCGATTCTTATGCTTTATAACTGATTTGTAAATTGATTCTTAAAGTTTTAACTCGATTAGATTTTTATTTGCCTTCTAAATTGGTGCTAGTCTCAAGTGAAGACACATGTGTGATCGTCGAGTCCAAACTTCTCAATTTTTGCCCCAGATGACTCCTCTGTTGATGATTAGCACCACCTTCAGATTTGTTAGGTCTTTCTCTGCTGCCGCGGAAACCTTTGCACTCCTGTGAACTTCTGGGAGACACTGGTGGTACATGGACAGCAACATTCGAACTATCGTTATAACTATTGCCAACGTCTCCCATTGATGCTACAGCAGGTGTATTATACACAGGGGGATTGATATAATGATGACTTTGGCGTGATGTTGGGGGTAAAGGATACATGTGGGAGTTAGGATGACTAGGTGCCATAAAGAATGGTTGCATTTGATACTGGTTCTGATGAGTGAAACCACAGCTATGATTCATACTAGAAGACGGCATGGGGTAATTGACATGCTGTGAGCCAAACGGACCGCTCATCCAAGAGGGCATCGCTGAATACTGCAATTGTTGGTGATCTCTACTCTGAGCAAGTGAAGATGATGCTGATTCGTTAATTGAAAAGCCTTGTTCATCTAAAAACAACATAAATTAAACCATGCTGTCCAGTCACCGCCAATTTGCACTGTCAAAATCACAAAATAACATTCACTTAGTGTTCTTTTGATGCGCTGAATATCGGTTTCAACAGCTCCTACGTTTCCTTCAGTCTGACAAGCAAAATCCAGCGTATCAATTGTTTTCTTTTCATTTCGCGCCTCGATTTTCCGATTTCTTTCACCAATTTCGTTAGTTTCGGTATAAGATAACGAAGACCCTCCTTCCAATGTATTCACAACAGCATCCAAAATATGACCTCTATGTGGTTTAGCTCCATCGGTTAGCCCTGGTCTCTCTGACGAGGCTACTTCTGATGATTTCAGTTTGGCACGCAATTCAGATAACGAAACAATGGTGGTTCGCTGTCTTTCCTAAATATAGTCAGTCAAACCTAAGATTGGCACTATCAATCTCATTCTTTTCGCTCGTATTGAAATCACATCAGCTTAAATTATACATTTTCTCTCAAGTCAAGCTGCGGTATGATAAAAAATAATCATTTTTGCCTCGTTTGAATTTGAGGAGCGTAGTTTAAACACAGAGGTAAAGCGGAGCTTCGCACCACTTGCGATACAACACAAACATAATGAAAATGCAGAAGAAATGAAAGTCGAAAAAAAATTAAATAAGTTGACTAAAATTAGGTGAACCAAAATTTTCATGTGTCTCGATAAAAGATAACTAGAGGCCCAGTTAAAGCTGGATGTAGCTGTTTGATATTTTTGGAATTTGCAATACAGACACGGGTTGAAATATGCAATTTACAAAGGTTTTCTCTGACCCTCAGGTTACAATTTGCGAAACAATATTGCCGGTCGTAAAGAACCCCAAAATTCTTGGTGTAATTTTTGTCGCTCCACTAAATTTTGCCGAACACTGCAAACGCACAGTAAGCAAAGCCATGCGCAGGCTATTGGTCCTGAAGGCGCTGTTTGCTTCAAACTGGTGTCAGTCGAAACAGACTTTAAATATTACCAACAAAACTTTAATCAGACCAATCCACACGAAACCTGTCCAGCTTGGACTCACGCAGCGAGTGAAAAGTTCATGTAAAAGGCGAATGTTGCAAAATGCAGCTCTGTGAATAGTGACTGCGCGTTCAAAGATGAGCCCCATTGACCACCTACTTTCAGAGTTCAAACTATTTATGTCAAAAATCACCACAAACTCCTTGCCTCACAGTTCGTCCTCAGGACCTACTTGCCAAGAAGCCCCTCCATTTTTAACTCACCCCCAACCACCTCGTCAGCAACGCGTGAAAATCTTAAACTCTTATAACGAGGAACTTGAACAAACTTTACTATAAGCAAACGGGTGTGACTCTTACTGATTTTAACCACCTAAAGCGTTCATAAACAGCAATTTTAGAACACTTGTAAAGAACACACACACACACACACAAACCGAGTGCAGAAAACCATTGACGAATCACCCCCGCCAAAAGTTCTCCCCTTAAGACCCCAGAAGTTTCAAAAACTGAACAGACCCTCCCTCGCCCAAATAAGATCAGGATACAGCCCCTACTTAAATACTTATATGAAAAGGATAGATCCAAATGTCCCTCCAAACTGTCCCTTCTGCCTTGCTCCCCACAATCCGCTACACTTATTCACTGTCCCCAAACAAAACAAACTTGACCTCATTAGACATGTGACTTCGGCCGACGGAGGTCGCAACGTTCCTCAAACTCGGCGAGAGCCTGCCGGACGCGCCCCAGACAACGGGCTAATGACAAAAATAGAAAAAGGAAAAAAAAATGTGTGAACCAAAATTTCATGTGTCGATAAAAGATAACTAGAGAACACTTGTAGGCTTAAAAATTAGACTTTGCCCAAAATCTTTGTTGCTTCTTTACTAAAACAAATAAGAATGAAAAATTTTGAGAAAGCATCTTCCCAAAGACAAAACTTAACCAAAATAAAAATTACAGGAAAAAAGGAGTTGCAGCATGTGCAGAAAAAATTCTCGCAAACAGTTTTTTTGATTGAATGCTTCATCTCGTAATTAATTGAGTAATTTCTAAGAAAATCAAACAATTTAAAAAAAACGGTCAACAGTTAGAAAACTGGACTTCGCTAAATCAATTAATTTTTTTTGCAATGATAAGGTTGTGGCCGTTTAAGCAGAAACGATTTCCCAAACTGGGTTTCTCGCTTGAGCCCGAACACTTAACTTAATAAAAGGAGTAGTTACCGAGAAAAGTCAAAAATTTTCAAAAAACTGGATAAAAGATCTGTTTAAAATCTGTTCTTTTGATTCAACGCAAAAACTCAAGATGAGAGGGTAGTTTTCGAGAATGGTTTCAAAAGACGGTTCAACAAACCAATTATTGACTTTTTCGAGGGCCATTACTTTTGCTTTACCATAAAAAGTTGGACGTAGGTGATAAAGCAGAGAGCTTTCCACAACCTGTTGTTTCTATTGAATCCATATATCAGATTTAGGAGGGTCGTTTTCGAGAAAAGGCAAAAAAAACTTAAACTGCCCAAAATTTGAAATTTTTGAGGGCTGTTAGTTTTTTTTATGGAATGAACCCAAAATCTCAGATTTCGGTGGAAAGGTTTTGAAAAAAGTCAAAAAGAAAAAAAAAACTGTAAAAAATATAAAATTTGATTGTTCCGAAGGCCATGACTTTTTGGACGTAAATAGCCCATTAACCAGAGGAGCTTTTCATAACCGTTTTATCCATTGAACCCAAAATTGTTGAAGATTTTTTGAAAAATCGAAAAAACCTAAAAATATGGGTCAAATATTCCCCAAAACAGCCTTTTTTTTAAGGCTGTAGACAGTAGGGTAAAATAAAAAAAGACCATGAATTCAGCAGGCGCACAGAAAATAAGCGGTTTTTCCATTGATACGTCTTTTTTGAAATTTAATTGACAAACTTTTTTTGAGAAGCTTTCGGGAGTTTTTTTTCTTCATTTTTTTGCAAAAATTGTAGTTGAAGCTTCTAAAAAATTTCCGCAACCTTCAAAAAAGTTAATAAAGCCCCATACATTTTCATAATACCTGATTTTGTCCATGAGAAATGTTTTGGCCGCCGAAATAACAATATAACTTGACTAAGCCGGTAAAACATCAGCTGAAACCATTTAGTTGGAAAAAAAATTTAAAAAAAAAACAAAATTATTCAAAATCAGACTTGGTTAAATGACAAATTACAGAACTTTCAATTATTTTTAAAAAAAACTTTGTATCAAAAAAATCCATACTTCACAAAGTAGGCCGATAATATAAAGGTTGTTTTTAAAAAAAAAAACGAAAAATAAACCGACGGAAAGCAGGCTGAAAACAATAAACATTGGGTAATCGCAAGGGTAAAAAAAGATAATATTAAAAGTCAAGGTTTATAAAATTACAAATTATAGGAGTAAACGAAAGATTAAAAAGAAATTGCAATAAATGCAGACAGCAAAAAAAATCGCCAAAAAAATGTGGCAATTACGCCAACAAAACATAAGCAGATAAAAAACAAGCCCACGTTTTTTTAAACTGAATACTTCCCATTTTCGCATACAAAAAGAAAACTAGATCCGATATTAGTGCCTTGAGGTACACGCCTTTTGACTTCCGACCGTTTTTTGAATCGAAGAATTTGCCGTTTGAAAAACAGGTCCTCTTCAGATTCGAACCCGGGACCTTTGCCGTCCCAGGCACATTCGTTGCCTCCAGACTAAGTGTACCGGAGACGCTTACAAATTTGAATTCATTCTGAACCAAGATACCAAGTGATTCAGTTAAACAAGTTGCTAACCCGAAAGAACTTTATATTGCAATTTGCTAATCGCAAGCGTAACTGCAACTGGTTAATGAAAAGCGAACTTGAAAACCCAAATTTTCACAGCAAACATTAGCGTTAAAATTAAGTAGGCGGATAGCGCTATTTCGTGCTATATAAAATAGACACTAAATTGTAAAAAAAATGAACGCAGAAGAGAAACAAGGATAGCCGGTTGCTGGGCAAGTTGCACATGATGTAACGACCACATTCTCAAAAAAAAAGTGTCTTTCTTGTATGTGTAATGGTAGAGCTATACGAACGCGTAGAAATTTAGTCAATTAGGCATCGTTCCAATTGTCTTCAAAAATAAATAAACAAAAAAATGTTTCAATTTTTGCACTTAAAATTTTAGTCATTTCTAACCAGAGAAGCGCTAAATGAAGGTTTCAAAATTAGTTTTCCTTTGAGTAAACTCAAGTTCTCTTTAGCTCAAATTGCTTATTTTCATAAATAACGAACGTTACTCGATCGCTTAACTTGCTAGAAATTGGAAAAATTTCAAACCGGTTTTTCTCAGTACTGGGAGAAAGTTTTATAATGTTCGAATCACGAATGAAATGGCACCAAAAAAAAGTAAGAAAAAAACTAAAACACCCGAATACGAAGTTCCACCCTATTTTCAGGGTATGAATAATAGATATAACCAACTCACATCTATTTCTGTGAAAGGTTTCTCTGCAGATGTCAATCCGTGCCATCTTTTTGATTCCGGTGGATTCGAATTTTCAGACTGCATTTGCTTGAATACTCTTCTCTCAGTGGCTAGCCTCGTTGGGTGTTTGGCACCCTCTATCTTCCGTCTCAACCTAGGAAAAAATTGAAAATGACTCGATAACATACGCATCAGCATTTTCGTATATGATTTCTAAAAAATTTGGTTCGAGCTGATTTTTTCAGAAGCTCTATAAGTTCAAACATAGGCGGCAAATTACTTGTGGTCTACCTCCATTTATAGAGAATGTCGTCCTCTTTCTTGATTGGCCCTCCCTTGGCGTTGAGTTTGGCCACTGATAACTGCCCAAACACGTCTGCATCTTTTGACTTCTGAGTCTGATTTCCACCATGCGAGCGCTGTTCTGTCAGGAGCGAGTCTCTGTCGTGCGAAACACTCGAAGAGACAGACACCGACAGACTTTGACTGCAAATAAAACCATGAAACTGCTTAATCACAAGGGAAAGAACAAAGATATGGTTGTTCAGTTCTCCAAGTACAGCCACCGTTGTAATTTTATGGGTATTTTCTGAATATAACATGTAGATTCACTTATCATAAAAAGTGTGACTCGAACCACCGTCCTCAGGTTGGAGGCATTAGCTATTTCGTATCTGCTCGCTCTTCTTCTAGAGAGCAATTAATTTCACATTAATTTCTAGGTTTGTGCAACTGACCTGGTTGAAAGAAGTTGTTCGATTCTCCGGTTAAGTTCTTCCAAGTTTTCCCCCGAGTCCTTTTGCTGAATTAAAAACTTTGTTCGGAAAACGCTTGTCAAAACTAACGTCGAATTAATCTGACCAATACAAACCGTTTCAGCGACTGGTATGTTTTGAGCACTGGAGTCTTTGGTTTTCGATAGTTGTCGTGACAGCAATGAACTCGATTCAGTGAAGCCTAAAACAATAGCACAACTTAAATCGATAACTTTTTTTTCTACGCATACAACATTTTATCATCGATTAGAAGCGCCAACTTTACTAAGGTATTCTGATTCAAAAAACATTTTAGGTGGCTGATTTATTTCAACTTTCTGCTTCATTTCGCCTGAAGATAAACAGGTATCTTATAATGCTTACAAATTAGCCAAAACAGGCGTACCTGGATGATTAGACGTCTCAGCTAAAGAGGTCATCGTTATCGGCACTATTTTATCCTTTTCAGTCGCTCTTTCTTGTCTGCTTCTAGCAGGAGCTCGTCGAAAGTTATCAATGTACCTGAGACAATAAAAAATCAACATTGAGCGTCAAAAAAGCTAGCAGATGAATAGTTCGATTAGCAAATTACTTTTATAGCTCACATTTAGTGAACCTAGACGAAACTTTTTACGTTCGTTGTTAAAACACTAGAAAAGACCTAAGGACGCGCGGAAAACAAAAGACTTTACTTTCTTCAAATCAAGATAGTAGTCGAGGGAAAAGATATTTAAAGTCCTCACCTTGACATTATGGTTGGTTTTTCACCGCTGCCACCTGTCTGATTTACTTCCCACGATGCCTTCTCGGTTTTTTCAATTTCTTCTTTTATTGCTATCACCCCGTCCTATTAACAATATACCGCCGAAATTAAGAAATTCATTCTTCTTTTCTTTTCATATTTCAAAGTTTTTGTTTCTAGGCCACGAATAAATTATGAACTGCAGATGAATCAGTTGGTTATTAGTTATCTTAACTGTTTCAGACTGAAGTATGGCAACTCATTACAATTTAAGAAATATTCGTATCCCAGTCAGAAGCATCCGGCATGCTCTCGCCGAGTTCAAGGAACGTTGCGACCTCCGTCAGTCGAAGCCACAAGCCTATTGGGGTCAGGTTTAATCTATTTTGGGGACAGTTAACTAAGTCTAACGCAATGTGGGAAGCAGGGTAGAAGGGGCAGTTTGAAGTGACTATTGGGACTATACTAATCATATATGTATTTAGGTAGGGGCTGTATCCTAGTCTCATTTGGGCAAGGGTGCGCCTAGTCAAGCATGGCAGTGTCGGTTCAGTTTTTGAAACTTCTGGGAGTGTTAAGAGGAGAACTTTGGGCGGGTGGCTTCGTCTACGGCTCTGCAGTCGGTTGTTGTGAATATTATTCACACATGTTTTAACATTGCTGCTTCTGAGCCCTCTTAGGCGGTTAAAATTGTTCACAGAGTCACACTCGTTTTTTTCTAGTAAAATATGTTCAAGTTCCTACTCGAATAAAAGTTTAAGATTTTCGCGCATTTCTGGCAATGCGATAGAGGGTCAAAATGTAGGGGGCTTATATTAGCAAGTAGGTCCTCTGGAAAAACTGGGAGGCAATTAGTTTGCGGTCATTTCTGAAATAAATAGTTTGAACACGCAGACACTATCCGCAGAGCTGCAGTTTAATTATGGATGTATCACTCGTAGCGTCAGACTAAGCCTGACAGACCAGGTCCAGGATTGATCCGATTAAAATTTTGAAGGTCACACGATTAAAAATTTGAAGGTCTCTTGATATTCAGCGCATGGTTTTGCTTGCTGTGCGTTTGCAACATACGGAAAAACTTAGGGAATGCTTAAAAACACCAAGAATTTTGGGATGCTTCACGACCGGCAATACTTTTTCACAAATAGTAACCTTGAGGACAGAAATAAACTCTTGGCTATGCGACGTAAGAAGACTTCAAGAGCCCTTTGTAGATGGAAATTCAAGCGATTTACAAGTTAAAAAAAAGTCATGCAAATTAATTTAAATAACTCTAAGTAACAAACGCACGTTTTATGTCGCGTGACTGGAAAAAAGGGTGAAATCATCGGAATCGGGCAGAAGTTTGACTTCTGGAGGGGAGTTGGGTGCATTCACGTAAAAACTTGAAAGGAGTAAGCGCGAGGACAACCTTGGGGGACGCCTGTACATACCATCTTGGGTGAAGACAACCCCCCTAAATTGCGTTTTGGCTTTCCTGCCGTTCCGATAATTTATAGGATTTATGTGAACTATCTGGCAGTGGTGCCATGAGTAAGTTCCAGTAATGCGCAATGGCAAAGCAAGTCAAATGTTTTGGATAAATCTAACGTGACTAACACAGTAAAAAGGAATATGCGCGATGTCGGAACCTGTCAAAAGTTTCGGATAAAGCTAAGGTGGCTAGCACAGTTCTTCCAGGTGGTCTTTTGCAATTCAAATTGTTGCTGATAAACAGTCCAAGAATTGATAGCACCGTTTTGTTGCTGATAAACAGTTCATGAATTGATAGCACTGTAGTGGTGGAGTCGAGGGGACGAAAGTCGTGCTGATGGTCAGCTTTACGGAGATTCTTTGTAAGACTAGGATGGATTAAAACATTAAAAATTTTCACTGCTGGTCTTAAACTAGACGGAGCGGTAACAGTCCTATAATTTAACGTCTTTGGTTGCTTTTGATAGAGGGACTACTTTTGAGTTCTTCTATATTTCAGGTATTTTCGCAAACATTTAGGACAAGTTAGAAGTATGTGTTAAGCGATTGATGGCAGTTGGTCCCGGATGTTTGATGTGTACCATTGGGCCAATTTCTTTTGATGACTTAGCTGCTTTGATTGCCTCTTCTGTTTCGTAGGGGAGAAAAATTTGTGGATCGCTAAGCATTTATTTTAGGATTTTAAGTCGTTTTGCTTTTTGATTTATGGGTTTGGAGTATTGTGTTAAAAGCGTTTGCTATTTGTTTATCCTCTGATACTCTTTTCTTTGATACGCTTTCTTGGAAACTTTTCGGCGACGTAAACGTCTTTCAAAAAGCCAATTCTGCAAAATTTCTTCAGTGAGCTCGAACTAGTTTGCTTAATTAAAACTTATGACGAATTTTGCTGCCGAAGGACTTGATTAAGTTCATCGCAACATTTCTACCGTAGTTATTCAAACAAAACAGAAGCCAACTTCAATTTTAAAATTTTCATCAATCGCTAATAAAACAAAACACAATGAATTTAACCAATAAATTTACAGCTAAACAGCTATAAAAAAAATACAATCAATTATGAAACAAAAACTCGGGTCGGGGCCTTAATTCATATTTCAAATAAGCTTACGAACCGAGTTTTTTGAAGCAAAATTGATTGTCCAACTAAACTCCATAGTTTTTTAGCTGCAAATTTAATGGTTAACTTCATTGCGTATTGTTTTATTAGCAACTGACGACACCGTTTAAATTGAAAAAGTTTAATGGAACTTTTTTGGCTCCAAGTCATTGACTCCTGTTTTGTTTTAATATCTACGGTAGAATTGTTGCGATCAAATTATTTAATAATTTAAGCGACATTTCGACTCAAATGACTTTCGTCCCAAAACAACACAAGGCTTGACTGTGATGTATTTGATGTATTAGAGTCTCTTTCTGAGAACACCAACAATCTATTTACGAAACATGACTATCAGACGCATCTTCTGGAATCTGCTTGAGTGGACATATTCACTCGGATGAGCAGCCGAACAACGGTGGATAAGCAGAGCGAGGAGACTACAAGATGTCAAATGGTGAGAGTCATCAGGGGACTAAGAACCATCTGTAATTGCCTGGACATGATGACTACGACATGGACATGATGACTACTACATTTTACATCGGGGACTAAGAACCATCTGTAATTGCCTGGACATGATGACTACGATGCGCAGATTCTGGAAAACTTTATTTGTAATTATATCAATGCATCTGAAATTGGGCTAAATATTGTGAAAGACGGCGATCAAAGAATCAACTTAACAGCAAGGCGAGAAAATGCCAGGCGGCTGAGAAAAATGAAGTGTTTCACTACTAAAAACGTATGCTAAACAATTAACAGATAAGTGAAACGGAAAAATGATTTTTCGCTGTAGCCACCAATTTACTACTTAATGGCTGAAAATATCTTCATCAACACTTAACGAGCTTTTCATAGGGTTTTAAATACGGCAGAGACGAAATTCAATAATGCTTTGCAGACATCAATATGAAAACTGACTGACATACCAGATAGTATTTTTAACAAGAACCAATTTTTACGGCAGCATAAATGAATATGGACAAAGCTTACACAGGGCGAATCTAGCACTTTCTCGAAGGGTCGGGGTTTTACGTTAGAGGTAAATCATTCGACTACTTTTTGATCGCGTTAAATCATAAAAAAAACACGTTTTTCAAAAAGAGAATAAAATTTTATCAATGCATGTCGATGATGTAACAATAAGCTACATTAAGCAACTGCTGAAAAAAAAAAACAAATTTCTAAGCTGAAAGCAAACTATAACAGTTCAAACAACTTTAAACATTTAAAGAATGCAGTCAACATGGTGAGCTATTTTGGTTTATCTGCAAAAACAATCTCGACATGAAACTTATTTGCTCTTCCAATTAAAAGAGCCACCCATACGAGTCCTCTTTTCTCAAAAGAGCTACCTTTTCTTTTCTCAAGTTTTGTGTTTGGATATGTTTCCTTATTGAAACAAAAAAAATGTTCCAACTACAAAACTCACTACAAAATAATGTTAGGCCATGTTTCAAAAAACCTATAAACGCATTGTTTCCCATATCATTAAAAAAAAATTGTGTCACTATTTAAACCATCAGATGAAGTGATTGAATGAGCAACGTCGCCTTTAGAATATTCAACACAGAGGCAAAATTGAGCTTCGCAGCACTTGCGAGACAAAACAAAACACTTGCTATGTCGAAAAAAATCAGATGTCAAAAAACCTAGATCTATCAAAATGAATAAAAGTCACACAAAACACTATCGAGATTTTTAGCCCTTTGTACAAATCATAGGGGAGCATAAAAAGATGTTTTCCTAAAAACTACTCAAAAATAGGTCACTAAGCCGATAAAAAAACAGCGGAAATCATTTGGGCAGAATTACGTTTTTGAGCGAAATAAAAAAGAAAGGAAAATATACGAAGTCAAGGCTAGTAAAATTACAACGGCAGAAACACATCAAAACGCTAAAACAAACGCAACTACAGTGTAACTTGCGTACAATATTTAAAAAAAAACAATTCTATGATGTGGCAACTAAGCCGGAAAAAAACATGAGCAGACTACTAATAAACTGAAAAATTTTTTAAACCGTAATACTTGCCGCTTGAAAAAAAAACAAATTCTTTTAGACTCGAACCCAAGACTTTTGCCGTCCGAGGCGCATTCGTTACCTCCAGACTAAGTGGGCCAGAGACGCAAAAAATATCAGCAGCCATGCATCCGAAAAAAAAACTGAAAACTTATTTGCAAAAAAAAAAAATTCTAGCAGAAAAATTGGAATAGTTTTATTTCTAGGAAATTTTGGCGCCTATAAAAACCAGAAAACCAGGAACTATGTTTACCTTCATAGAAATGAAGAAAAAATATCAACAAATCTGCCATAAAATTACAAGTAAGCCGACAAAAATTGAGTCGAAATCAATAAAGCCGACAAACAAATAAACTTACATCTGAAAATCTTTTTCAGCTGTAAAACAATTATCACTTTAGACGTTGAAGCCAGCTTTTGAATTACAGCTTTTAGACGTGTATCTTGAGTTGAAATAGAGAACAGAGATACATTTGGAGACGAGCAAATTCCATTCATCCTGTGGACAAAGTTGTTTTGGGTAAAAAAAAGTCTAGTACCCGGTTGCAATACCCTTGCTTATCGCAAGGCTAATAACCACAAACTCATCTGAGTATGCAAAGAGAGACGATAAAAAACACAGCCTGGAAATAAAATAGGAAAAAAGGCTTCAAAAGTAATTCTGGAACATGAATAATAGCAGAGTTTGATTAAAAAAACTTCAATTATGCGAAACATCATCAGTGTTTTAGGCGAGTGTTATTCTACACATTCTTCAAGATCAAAATGTCGAAGTGCGAAAAGTTCTTCAAATAATTTAATTTCGAATTTCTCAGGGTTGATGAGGGCGATGGCCGAAACATGTCGCAACATCTGATTTAGGTTGTTTGTTCAAAAAAAAATTGTTGTCAGTTTCTTGGAAGAGTTTGCTGTAAAGTTTGATGCAGAAATTCAGAAAAATTTTCATCAGCATTATTGAAAGCATTACTATAACAAAAACGGTTTATTTCAAAGCAAATTATTTCAAAATAGAGCAGAGCGAAATATTTGCATGGTTATGTTTTGTCGGCTTAGTTCCCACATCAAATAATAATTTTTTTTTGCTGTACGCAAGTTACATTGTAGTTGCGTTTGTTTTAGTGTTTTGATTTTTTCCTGCCATTTGTAATTATACTAACCTTGACACCGTATGTTTTCTGTTTTTTAGTTTTTCGCTACAAAAAATTTTATTCTGCCCAATTGATTTCGGCTTAAAAGCAACAATATTTCGAAAAATAAGCAACAATATATACCAATTTGTAATCTAGTCCAGCATGCTGATGAAATTTGCAATGACATTTACAGAGTGAAAATTTGACTCTCGCTAAGAAATAACTTGAGATGCACATTTGGATACTCATTGAGTACTTTGAAGCTCATCATCTGCAGATAAAATATTCAGTGACTGAATCAATGGTTTTCAACAATTCATTGGATACATATTCGAATGCAAAAAAACAGGTAATGGCCCCAGACACATCATGTGAAGTGTCTAGGTCTGTTTATCGAAAAAAAAATTCCTTTTCAAAATCACTAACGCCATCAGATCTTTCTCAGTAATTCGAAACGAGCTGCCCATTTTAACAAATGAAACTATTTTAAAATCACTTGTTTTTAACCAGTCTGAGTAATCAAGTATATTTTTCTTAAAATCAATTGAAACTAGCGTGTAACGCACCACCGGTGCTTCGAACTATTGACAACTCTTTTGAGGGTAAGGGATTTCAAATTTTGAAAAAAAATCGGTAAGTTTCCTGAAAAATCACACAAAAAACGTCATATCTCGAAAACTACAAGGATTTGAGCAGTCATATTTGGAGGCAAGATTTCAGAGTGACATTTACAGAGTGACAATTTGACTCTCGCTAAGAAATAACTTGAGATGCACATTTGGATAATCATTGAGTACTTTGAAGCTCATCATCTGCAGATAAAATAATCAGTGACTGAATCAATGGTTTTCAACAATTAATTGGATACATATTCGAATGCAAAAAAAACTGGTAATGGCCCCAGAGACATCATGTGAAGTGTCTAGGTCTGTTTATCGAAAAAAAATTTCCTTTTCAAAATCACTAACGCCATCAGATCTTTCTCAGTAATTCGAAACGAGCTGCCCATTTTAACAAATGGAACTATTTTAAAATCATTTGTTTTTAACCAGTCTGAGTAATCAAGTATATTTTTCTTAAAATCAATTGAAACTAGCGTGTAACGCACTACCGGTGCTTCGAACTTTTGACAACTCTTTTGAGGGTAAGGGATTTCAAATTTTGAAGAAAAAAAATCGGTAAGTTTCCTGAAAAATCACACAAAAAACGTCATATCTCGAAAACTACAAGGATTTGAGCAATCATATTTGGAGGCAAGATTCGCAACTCATGAGAGAACCCTGACAGCACCCTACTAAAGGGTAAGGCATTTCAAATTCTGAAAACAAAAATTACATCAAGTTTTTTGAGAACTTAAGTTTTAATTTAGAAACAAAAAGATAATAGAAAAAAGATCTAAAAGAAGGATTGAAAAAAAAATCGAAAAAGGATTGAAGAAATTTAAGAAAAAGGGCAATCGAAAAAAAAAATAGAAAAAAAAACATCGAAAAGAAGGATGGAAAAAGATTGAAAAAGAAGGATCGAAAAAAGACAGAATAAAAACATCGAATATATTGAAAAAAAAAGATCGAAAAAAGATCGAAAAAGAAGGATTGAAAAAAAAGATAGAAAAAAATCGAAAAAGAAAGATTCAAAAGATTGAAAAAAAGATCGAAAAAGAAGGATAAAAAAAAAGGAAAAAAGAGAAAAAAGATCGAAAAAGAAAGATGAAAAAAAGATTGAAAAAAAGGATCGAAAAAGAAGGATTGAAAAAAGATAGAAATAAATTTTAAAAAGAAAGATAGAAAAAAAAGATCGAATAAGAAGGATCGAAAAATAATTAGAAAAAACATAGAAGAAAAAGATTGATAAAGAAGGATCAGAAAAAAAGACAGATAAAGAGAAAGAATTGGAGACAACCGTTTGACAGTAGTACTATTTTGAACTAAATCGTCGAAACCAAATTGAAAGTTAAAAAATTAGGAGATGGGTAGACAGACAATCAAATTAAATGAAAAAGCAGGTATACAGACAGACAGACTTAAATTGGCCTCAAAAAAATACTGAAAAATTATTGACCTAGCGGAAAACTAATTGAAAAATTTTCTTAAGCATTGCAATATATGATATAGCTTAAACATGAAAAAACTCCTTCGTTAAACATGCAAAATTATTATGCTTAAACATGGGAGATACTTGTCACTCGCATTTAAATATAGTATAGATTATAGATATACAATTGAACATTAAACTTAGATTCAGCAAAAAGAAATCCAATAGTTCGATTCACTTTAAAATAAAGCATAAATAATTGCCGACAATTAAAAATTAGAAAACTACCCATAGGCGATATCATTCTCTTTTTACAAAAAATTTTACAAAAGGTTACCGCGACAAATTAGTCACAGAGTAGAAACTGAACTGCGCAAAATCACGCGAGAAAACGACACAAAATAGCTCTAAACAAGGCCAACAGACACTTGCAAAAGAGTTAATGAACGCAAAAAAGAAACAAAAAAGACATTTTTTAAAAACCTTAATTCGAATTTCAAACAGTAAAACATATCGAATTTTAAGAGCAACTTATAATTGGAATTTTTTAAACTAAAATTAACCCATATTGAGAAAACTGGATTATAGGGAAAAGTTTTTGTTCCGCTGGAAAATCTGAAAATTAAAGTTCACTTTCGAAACAAAAAATCGATCTAATTTTTTCGCGCAATTTCAACTTTCATAATTGGAGAGTAATTTTTGCCCATCTAGCAAATTAGTGAATTGAAGTGTATATACACTTGAATGCATTTCTTTCGTTATTAGAGAACTTAAAGTATTTTTCTGAAAAAAAATCATCACGACTTATAAGAGTCTTAACTACGTTCCCCGACTCTTAATAATGCAGAAAACTGAAATAAGGGAAGAAAGGGCAAGTTAAACCTGCAGAAACATCTGCGATGTGCTGGAACCAAATCACCGACCTGGGCATTAAGAGTATCACGTCATGGGCGCTTGAAAGTATACAAATACGGATCACCAATAACCCGCTAGAACGCATGCGATTAAATTGCCAATGGTTTGCAGCAAAAAAGCAGCCAAATTAGCATTTTTCTCTGCAAGTTGGATTAGAAGAAAAAAAATAGTATTTGTATTTTAACGGTACGCTCACTAGCTCGCATGTGTAAACAATCAAGTCTTGTACGAAATTCAAACGTGAATTTGCAAAGTTTCCTATTTTGGAATAACAGAAGACCTACTAAAATTACTAATCTGCCAACTTATGGATGGTCTTTCGCTTCAAATTGAAATTGTTGAATCTTATTTTTTATTTGTCTTTTTATTTAATAATTTATTTAGATACCTATTTCTAAAACTCATTTCTTGAACTTGTACAGTAACTGACTGTTGCATATTGTATTTGCAGCGCAACATAAATTGTTATTGAAGTAATTAGTTGTATTGAAAAACAATAATATTGCATATCAAAAATTAATTTTTAGCTTTTAAAAATGGACACCAAATAATTGTTTCTATTAAAGTTAGCCTGGTATTATGCCATTGAAGGTAATATTAAACAGAATTTTCACATCAGTAAATTTCTTGCGTGGAAATAATTTCAAGCAATGATCAATTTGCATAACATTATTTAAACTTACCGATTCAAATGGATCCCAAATTTCTTCAGTGAGACGACTGGCGAATTCTTTCTCGTTCTCTTTTTTCAACCTCGTGACATGTTTTTTTAGGTTAAACTCAGCAGGATAGCTTCTATTTTGTACGTAGTCGTCATCGTCTGAGTCCTGAAAAAAAATTGACTTCGGCAAGAATTCAGAGAAAAACTCAATGAGAAAAAAAAGAGAAGTTACAGCATACCGTGCCCTTTCAACCCTAAAACACAAATGAAAGCTAGTTTTTTTTCAGAAATTACTGCATTACCTTACCCTTTTAAATTATAAAACCGCTCTAAACCTAGTTCATTTATCAATACTTTTCATGATCAAAAATACTCACCATTGTAAAGACGGTTCTTATTGTGCACTCTTATTGTTACTTTCGAAGTCGAATAATTTATGGTCTTCACTATTAGTTTTTTTGTGATGTCAATTTGATTGACATAACAGCAATTACACGTCAATACTTAGCTCATTCAATCTCATATAATAATAAAATAAAATTGCTGTTAATTTTACCGAATCTTCTTTGGAGCGCTGACGAGCATTGTTGGATGCAGACGGAAAATAAAAAGCTCTTGATTGCTTTCCTTTGTCATACAAGTTTTTGAATTCACTGAAATGCAGAAAAATGGTAATAATGTCAGTTTCCAGCCTTTATTATTCTAAATTTACAAACTTTCTGACCTTCGCCTACCTAGTTAGTTGAAACAGTGATTCTGCCATTTCCAGGGCACATTTTTGTCTATATACGAAGATTTACTTGTAATCAAACTGCTGACAGTTTATCTGAAAATTGCTAGAAAAAAAATAAAATTGGGATAATCAATTTACTCTTTATGTTCTGCTAAAAAATGCACTTTCTGAAATTTGCAATGACATTTACAGAGTGAAAATTTGACTCTCGCTAAGAAATAACTTGAGATGCACATTTGGATACTCATTGAGTACTTTGAAGCTCATCATCTGCAGATAAAATAATCAGTGACTGAATCAATGGTTTTCAACAATTCATTGGATACATATTCGAATGCAAAAAAAACAGGTAATGGCCCCAGAGACATCATGTGAAGTGTCTAGGTCTGTTTATCGAAAAAAAATTTCCTTTTCAAAATCACTAACACCATCAGATCTTTCTCAGTAATTCGAAACGAGCTGCCCATTTTAACAAATGAAACTATTTTAAAATCACTTGTTTTTAACCAGTCTGAGTAATCAAGTATATTTTTCTTAAAATCAATTGAAACTAGCGTGTAACGCACCACCGGTGCTTCGAACTATTGACAACTCTTTTGAGGGTAAGGGATTTCAATTTTTGAAGAAAAAAAATCGGTAAGTTTCCTGAAAAATCACACAAAAAACGTCATATCTCGAAAACTACAAGGATTTGAGCAGTCATATTTGGAGGCAAGATTTCAGAGTGACATTTACAGAGTGACAATTTGACTCTCGCTAAGAAATAACTAGAGATGCACATTTGGATAATCATTGAGTACTTTGAAGCTCATCATCTGCAGATAAAATAATCAGTGTCTCAATCAATGGTTTTCAACAATTCATTGGATACATATTCGAATGCAAAAAAAACTGGTAATGGCCCCAGAGACATCATGTGAAGTGTCTAGGTCTGTTTATCGAAAAAAAAATTTCCTTTTCAAAATCACTAACGCCATCAGATCTTTCTCAGTAATTCGAAACGAGCTGCCCATTTTAACAAATGAAACTATTTTAAAATCACTTGTTTTTAACCAGTCTGAGTAATCAAGTATATTTTTCTTAAAATCAATTGAAACTAGCGTGTAACGCACCACCGGTGCTTCGAACTTTTGACAACTCTTTTGAGGGCAAGGGATTTCAAATTTTGAAGAAAAAAAATCGGTAAGTTTCCTGAAAAATTACACAAAAAACGTCATATCTCGAAAACTACAAGGATTTGAGCAATCATATTTGGAGGCAAGATTCGCAACTCATGAGAGTACCCTTACAGCACCCTACTAAAGGGTAAGGCATTTCAAATTCTGAAAACAAAAATTACATCAAGTTTTTTGAGAACTTAAGTTTTAATTTAGAAACAAAAAGATAATAGAAAAAAGATCTAAAAGAAGGATTGAAAAAAATTCGAAAAAGGATTGAAGAAATTTAAGAAAAAGGGCAATCAAAAAAAAAACAGAAAAAAAACATCGAAAAGAAGGATAGAAAAAGATTGAAAAAGAAGGATCGAAAAAAGACAGAATAAAAACATCGAATATATTGAAAAAAAAAAGATAGAAAAAAGATCGAAAAAGAAGGATTGAAAAAAAAAGAAAGAAAAAAATCGAAAAGAAAGATTCAAAAGATTGAAAAAAAGATCGAAAAAGAAGGATAAAAAAAAGATAGGAAAAAAGACAAAAAAGATCGAAAAAGAAAGATGAAAAAAAGATTGAAAAAAAGGATCGAAAAAGAAGAATTGAAAAAAGATAGAAATAAGTTTTAAAAAGAAAGATCGAATAAGAAAGATCGAAAAAAAATTAGAAAAAAAAACATAGAAGAAAAAGATTGATAAAGAAGGATCAGAAAAAAAGACAGATAAAGAGAAAGCATTGGAGACAACCGTTTGACAGTAGTACTATTTTGAACTAAATCGTCGAAACCAAATTGAAAGTTAAAAAATTAGGAGATGGGTAGACAGACAATCAAATTAAATGAAAAAGCAGGTATACAGACAGACAAACTTAAATTGGCCTCAAAAAAATACTGAAAAATTATTGACCTAGCGGAAAACTAATTGAAAAATTTTCTTAAGCATTGCAATATATGATATAGCTTAAACATGAAAAAACTCCTTCGTTAAACATGCAAAATTATTATGCTTAAACATGGGAGATAGTTGTCACTCGCATTTAAATATAGTATAGATTATAGATATACAATTGAACATTAAACTTAGATTCAGCAAAAAGAAACCCAATAGTTCGATTCACTTTAAAATAAAGCATAAATAATTGCCGACAATTAAAAATTTGAAAACTACCCATAGGCGATATCATTCTCTTTTTACAAAAAATTTTACAAAAGGTTACCGCGACAAATTAGTCACACAGTAGAAACTGAACTGCGCAAAATCACGCGAGAAAACGACACAAAATAGCTCTAAACAAGGCCAACAGACACTTGCAAAAGAGTTAATGAACGCAAAAAAGAAACAAAAAAGATATTTTTTTAAAAACCTTAATTCGAATTTCAAACAGTAAAAGATATCGAATTTCAAGAGCAACTTATTATTGGAATTTTTTAAACTAAAATTAACCCATATTGAGAAAACTGGATTATAGGGAAAAGTTTTTGTTCCGCTGGAAAAGGAATGCGAAGAAACCTAAAGTTCTTGTCAAAAAAAATCCGTTCAGCCAGATTGTGTAAAATTTTGCATCTCAATCATGTGGCGCTATCATGACGTGGAATTACAATCATTTGGAATTTAAACTCTGGAAAATCTGAAAATTAAATTTCATTTTCGAAACAAAAAATCGATCTAATTTTTTCGCGCAATTTCAACTTATTCTTCTTTGCTCACTTTCGTGGTTGGAATAAAAGCTATGACTCCTGGGTCAACCTTGATCAAATTTTCCGGCTCCCTGATGGTTATGTTCCGATAGGCCGGAATTCTCGCGGTCCTATTTGCCTTCTCGCGCCTCCTGTCTCCAGTCCTATCTCTGTCGCTTTAACGAGTTCTCCTTCTCGGGATGCTCCTGCTGGCTCTGGCCTCTCTCAAGGGATGTCAAGTATGACGATCTCGGCTGAGCTCGCCGAAAGCGCTGTGCCGGATCTTTCTGACGTCATGTCTTCCAGAGTTGACACTGTCCGGTTCGTTCCGATTTCTCTTCGTAACGAGTGGTCTGAGGTTGTTGGTCACGCCCTTGACAACTGCGCCACCGCTCCGGACAATCTGAAAAACTGGACTCGGTTGCTCATGCTCCCCAAATGTATCTTGAAAGCCCCTCGCCGCGGAGGCAAGTCTCACGCCGCTAATAACTGCAGAGACATTCGCCAAAGAATCAAGTCCTGGAAGGAGGGCAATATTTCGGACCTCTGGTCTAACGCTACCAAAGGACCTAAAGAGCGAACGAAGAAAAACAGCAAACCTTCTCCTGACTTTAATGTCCGCAGAGCCAAAGAGCTAGCAGGCCTCGGTCAGTTCGGCAGAGCAGCTAAAGCCCTGTGTTCCGATGGCCTCGTGTCCAAAAGTGACGAGTCGCTTAAGGACCTTCGCAGTCTTCATCCTTCCGCTGACCCTCCTGTCTTTTCTGGCCGGGATGAATCCCCTCTTGCCTACCAATTCGAATCTGAGTTCGTTCATAAGTCTCTCAAAAGTTTCCCGAGCGGCACTGCTGCCGGTCCTTCGCGCTGGTTTCCTGAGCACTTTGTTCACGCCGTTGAGTGCCCCACTCCTCAGACTGCTGCCAGAACGTTAGAGTCTCTCAACAGGGTTGTTAATATCCTCGCTGCCGGGCAAGCCCCTTCTAGTCTCTCTTCGTGGCTGTGCAGTGCGAATCTCTTTGCCACCGCTAAACCCAAGGGTGGTGTCCGGCCTATTGCGGTCGGCGAAGTGCTCCGAAGGCTCACTGCTAAATGCCTTGCTAAAGCCGCCAACGCTGAAGCTCGTGATTTTCTGTGTCCTCACCAGCTTGGAGTCGCTACCAGCGGTGGCTCGGAAGCCATCGTCCACGCTACTAAAATGACAGTCAAAAAGTGCTCGGAACATGGTCACCAAGGCGTCTTAACAGTGGATTTTGAGAACGCTTTCAACACGCTAGACCGCACCGAGATCCTCCCTCAAGTTCGCAACCGTCTTCCCGGTCTCTCCGCCTTTGTTGAGTTTACCTACGGTCACCACAGTCATCTGCTGTTCGAGGATGTCATTCTCAACAGCGAGAAAGGAGTTCAACAGGGGGATCCGCTAGGGCCTCTCATTTTTGCGGTCACCCTGCACTCTCTAGTCGAATCTCTCAAGTCGGAAGTCCCCGGTCTCACCCTCAACTGCTGGTACCTTGATGATGGGATTTGTGCCGGCGACGAAGACTCCTTGCTCAAGGCTCTCGAACTCATCACTTCCAACGGCTTGCATCTCGGCCTCAAAGTCAAGCACAGTAAGTGTGAGTTGTGGGCCCCTGTGGAGTTCTCCTCCATCCCCGTCTCTATCCCGAGAGCAGCGTCTAATGGCTTCGAGCTTCTTGGCGCCCCCATTGGTGATACTGAGTTCTCAGTTAAAGTCCTGGACAAACGCATCTCGAAGGCCACCAAATGTCTTGAAAAGTTACCTCTTCTTGATGACCCCCAGCTCTCACTTGGCATCACTCGCACTTGCCTTGCTGCTCCCAAGCTGACGTACTCTCTTCGCACTCAGCCGCCCTCTCAGCCTGTCGCAGCTTCCCTGCAAGTTTTTGATGAACTCCTCCGCGATGCTCTTTCTGTCACAGTTGGCTCACCTGTTCCTGATCTTGCCTGGTCCCAGTCTTCCCTGCCTATCAAAGATGGCGGACTTGGCGTCCGGCAAGCTCGCGACCAACACATTCCTGCCTTCCTAGGGTCTTCGCGTCAGTCAGCTCATTTGGTCTCGTTTCTTACCGAATGCGACATCACTGATACGCCGGAGTTCCTGCGTGCCTCGAACGACTTCCGTGAACAGTCTGGAAGCGTTAACACTCCCGGTTTTACTCAAAAAGCTTTCCAAGAGAAACTCGATAAGGCCACCTACAACGCTTTCTTCTCGTCTCTTCCCGATTCCCGCGAGCAAGCTCGTCTTCAGTCGCTCTCTCTGCC